ACAGTTCAAATTTAACCCAAATTTGGATTAAATTCCATTGTTTTAGTTAAAAATAACTATTTATTAAGTAGGAGCAGTGGCGACTTAAATAAGATTCTGTTTGACACTATAGATTTAACAGTGTATTCAAGAGTCATATACATGTATATACAGAGTATCCAGATATACTAAATGGTAAAGCGCTCGTGAGCAGATAGAGCGGACTAAATTGAGTCGAAAATCCCTGTATTATTTTGTGATTTTCTCAATAGTTTACGAGAAATTAATTATTAAAGATCGCCGAATATGTACTGAGCGCGGCCTACCGCCAAGGCGCCAAATGCAATCGCGCAACGAGATGCGATCGACGTTGCTAAGCAATTCTATTGTAAACAAGTCCCCTATAGTTGCCTAGATGTCCAGCGCTGAGCGCCTGAGCGGTCGCATCTCGTCGTGCAATTGCATTTGACAATGGGTCGTGCTTATTCAGTGATTTTTTAGTAATTAAATTAACAATAAATACAGCTCTTTATTGTAAAAACAATATAATTAAAAAACGGGCCAAAGACGAGCAATCATTGTATATTTAATTAGATGTATATTTAATTCTTTATTGTCTTATATACATGTATGTATAACAAGTTCGCAATACTAGTTTTGACCTCACCAGGTGAGGTCTTTTTCAATCGCTTAATTTAGTAATTAATTTCTCGTAAACTATTGGGAAAATTGCAAACTATTATAGATAGAGAACTTTTCTGCTCAGTTTAGTCCGTTTTATCTCCATAGAAGCGTTATTGTATCGATAATTATCAGATCTTTGTATATTTGCTTATCACAGGCTTAAGGACAGGATGTTTTTATAATATTGTACAATTATATTTGGTATCATATTGTAGAATCAGGCAGCTATTGCCATCGTTTTAGATGTGTGGATGTATTTATGGGGTAGTATAATAGTTCTCGTAAATAAATTTTTTACCTCGCATTAATTATAATGATGATATGTATTAGTTCCAATATTTAGTTCCTCTTTAAAGGTATACCGACTTTGTGATTTCCACTTACACAACATTACTCGCTATTCTGATCGTAGTTGGCGTCAGTTCTTTAAGTATCAACCTTTTCCAAGTGAATAACTTTTTTCTTTCTCTAATTAATTATAAATTACTTAATAATGAATATTTCATTGTAGTTTATTCAACTTGTAAGATTCACAAACAATATTCGAGCAATATCTATTAGTATTGTGATTTTAATTCATCATCTGAGTTATATGTTTGTTCTTAATTATGGAGGACAAGAATTAATAAATCATGGATTACAGTTCTTCAAATCAAGGTGAGTATCATATTTTTACAGCATTTTGAGATTATTTTATATTTATTTAGAATTTAGATTGTCATCATATACAGATTTATTATAGATTTAGTTTTACAGATATTGTATGTTATATTTCGATATTTTTTCTAACATATAGTTAATTCAATGCTAATTAACAAAAATATTTATAACTTTATATTATTTTATTTTAAATTGATTTATTTCATTTAAATTAATTTATAGCTATAATGGACTATGGTACGCAGCACCTTTGCATACACAAAAATTATTATTATTTATAATGAAAAGGGGAACAATAAATACTGTTTTTGTATGTGGTAAAATATATATTGCATCCTTGGAAGGATTTGCTTCGGTAAAATTAAAATTTCTTTTACAATAGAAAAAAAGAATTAAACTCTCAACGGTCATATAATATAATATATATCATATACATATATAATATTCACTTTCCAGCTCACGAGTACAGCAATATCTTACTTCACAGTGATCTATTCTACGCGATAATGAATTAGAAAGGAAAATTTGCAGGGATTGGAAGTAACTCGTTACTTGTAACGCCATAATCATTACAGTTACTTTTTTTGGTAACGGATTAGTTTGGTAATGCCGTTATTTTATTTTTGGTAACTGTAACGTAGTTACATTTTTTTCGGTAACGATAACGAATTACACGGTAACGAGTTATTTTTATCATTACTTTTTGTATTTATGACAAAATTTTCTGTATGTATATTCAATCTTCAATTCTAAGCTAGTATTTACATAGTTTACTCTTAGTTTAAGACTGTTTTAAATAACGTCTTAAAATATTAATGACTTTGTGATTGGTTTATGACATCTGAAGAATGCCGTAAGTCAATTAATATCACAAATTAAATTGAGAAGTACTTTAATAAGATATTTTTACTTGTTATATGTGCATATTAAAATACTTTAAAAAATTTATTGTGAAAAATATTAGCTGAATTGCATTTCAAGATTGAAAATTTAATTGGTGCCTAGTTTGTAAAATTGGATATGTATATATAAATTTATTACGAAATATTAAGCACGAAGCTGGAAGCTCTATCTCATATCGAAAAGGCCTTCATTTTCCTAGTTGTATTTTTATATATCGGTCTAGTGTCATTGTATTGCTTTTATTAATATTAAAACAAAAAATTGCATCTTAAATTATTTAGATCGATCTTGTTTCAGCATTAAAAAAGTAACGAAAAAGTAACGAATCATTGTTTTTTAAGTAACGGTAACGATAACGAGTTATTTTTAAAAGTCAAAACTAGTAACGGTAACTAGTTATTTTTTTAACTCGGTAACGAGTAACTAGTTATTTTTAAAAAGTAACTTTCCATTCTCTGAAAATTTGTTTTCAGTTAGATAGATCTTTGCTAAATTAATAAAACAAAATAATTAAGACGTATAAATTACGTTGATTGAAAACTCTTTTTGCGAATTAAATTCGTTTATTATTCTATACGCAAAACGCTAATATATTATAATAGAAAAGAAAAGAAAATATACTGTTAATCAAGTTTAGCAGCATAATTGAATATAGATAAATGAAAATGTATAAATCTAATATTTTGTTTGTTATAAAATTTACATTAGAACTACTAATTAAAGAACTACTATAAAACATCGAAGCGATTTATTTCAATTACGAATGGACTATTAAACAATAATTTGAAATTATTTCTGTTTGATAATGAAATAAATTCAGAAATATATGACTGTCACTAAAATATGCAATTGGTTGGATGTACAATTGATTAAGTATATAATTTAACGTTTCTACCATTAATCGTATATTTTTTAATTCAAACATTTATATAATTCAAGATAATTAAATATATTGAAAATGACTTAGAATTTTGGAATATTTCATTGAAACAATAGAAACATACAAGTTAACATTAAATTGGTGGTTGAATTTCAAATGGATACGTTATTTCGTAACTATATTTGAATATAAGTTTCGGTTCGTGGTTGAGAAGAGACTGAAAGATCGTTCGATACATCATAGAACGTATTCGCCATTGCGCATGTGCTTCAAAAATAAAGAAAGTGAAAATATTCAACAAAATTACCTCGCAATAAAGCGATAGTTTCACGGTAATTTAAATATTCTATACCTTTTGCTACTTCTTATTTCTTGTATGTGTTCAGAAAAGCTCTTTACACATAATTTTCCTTATTAAATAATTTTATTGAACATTACAAAGATACATTATGGTAAGTTAAATATTCAGTAAAAATACTCTGTATTATTCGTTTATTTCGGATAATTTAAAAGAAAGTAGATAGTGAGAGATATAAACAATATGTGGACTTATACGCGTTTTGAAGCTACGTTTAGTTTCAAGTCTTCAGTGCATCATGCATGTAATCGAAGAATACTATTATACATTTAATACAGCTTTTATAAAGACAATAGGTATTTGGCCTTATGAAAAATCACGATTTGCATTATTACAGCGATTGTTAATCACTACTTTAACTATCACGTATATTGGAATGCAGGTAACAATTATTTCTTTATGAACTTCATTAAAATACAATATAATTTGTGATTATTTTTAAAAAATCAAGTAACCTTTTTCAAAAATTATTTGCATTAATTATTCTTTAATTGTAATAATTTTTAATTAATAGAGCTTATTACTAGAGTTATTATAATAAATAAAGCCAAAGTTCAAATGTTTATTTTATAGCATAATATACTTTTATCATAATTTATTGCGATCATTATATTTATAATTACAGTTATCAGTTCTTATTACGACAACATATAATATGACTCTTTTCGTCAAAATTGTATCGCACGTTTGCCCCTTTATAATAATTACAATAAAGTACTGTGTTTTTATCTTGAAGTCAAAAACTGTAAGTTACTTCTAAATCGATTTGCACAAACAACCATTTAAAATTTTATTTACGAATTTACATTCAATAAGCGTTAAATGATTAAATGTTAATGTTTAATTAACAGGTGCAAAATTTACACTATCTTATCCGAGAGGACTGGAAGATAATACAAAATAAATTAGAAAGCAAGATTATACTAAAATACGCTCATTACAGTCAACTTTCTACTATCTTTCTGTTTTGTAAGAAAACTTTGGTTTATTAATTTTAATTCTATAGCTGTAATTTATCATAAAAATGCCAACATAAATATTTTGGAATTAATAATATCTAAATAAGTATTTAAAATATTAATTTTGAAATGAATAATGTCTAAATATTTTAAAAAATGCGTACTATTATTTATTTGATTATTAATGTAGTACACTCGCGAATTGAAAACAGAATTTCTTGAAATTGAAACCATACGTTGTACTAGAAGTCGTTGACATGCTTGTGCAATTAGAATGAGATTGACCGTTTCAATACTGAGATATAAGCAATTAAAAATTGCATTTTTTATACGTATCGCCTATACAAAGTTCATGAAAATGTCGCGTTAATTTTTGTAGGGCCTAAACGAGCAGAAAGATGTTAGTAAAAAACGAGCATGCGATGAAGTGATATCAAACGAATATTTTGAAAAAAATTCATAATTTTTTACCGTTCAGTTTGGAAAATAGAACCTTGAAAAAAATGTAATTTTTGATTTTGATTGACATATGGAGGCGAGTGAAGGAGGCGGCCAGTCGAGCTACGTTAGTTGCGTCTATCTGAATTAATTTTTTTCCACGTGTGCGTGCGGCCTATGAACAGGCGCAACCAAACGTTTTTTTCTCACTGGCGGGAATGGGAGTATCGCCACCGAGCGCGCGATGGGACCTAATTTTTGGATGGTATTGTCACAGTATAACCAGTAGGTCCACTTTGTGTCGGCACCTTTGATCTCCTTTTCCGGATCACGTGAGCATCCACCATGTTAAATCCTGGACCGAATTGAGAAAAGTGCCTCACAAGTATAATAATAAAACAGATAAGTAATAATATGGATTCGATACAGTAAATCAATAAATTCAATGTGTGAATCGAATAAAACGTTTTATTAATAACAATTATTCGTAGGAGTGATCACTAAAGAAAATTTCTGATGTAATTGTTTATAAATTGTCTGCACATATGTATGTATACGTTTCTATTGTCTTGCATTTTATTGGATCCAACCCAAAACAAAAGTTGCGCGGCGATACCTGCGCGAAGACTCAGTTTTTCGCTGAGTGGATCTACTAGTTATACTGTGGTATTGTCGCGAGTGTACTACCTTAAGCTGTAATGCTTAATAGAAAATATAATAAAAAATAACTTAAGTATATATATATACATTCGGCAGCTCTCTCTTACATATTTTATTAAGATTATTTTTCGAGATAAACACATCTTTATAAATATTTAAAAAATAAATAAATTTATTTTACTAGTTTCAAATTTAAAATACTTTCCCTCACTCACAGAAATAAAATACTATTCACAAAATAATACTAAATACTTTATGAAAATTCCATAAACTAATAATTATATATAATAACATTTAATTATTGCATGTAAATTTATGAAAGTTTTTTGTTTATACGTCTTACAGTTTTCATCGATCTTATAGTAATTGCTCTTGCCATCATCCAGTTTCTTCCGAATATTCTTGATATTATTTTGCCATTGGACAAACCACGACCACATAAACTTATTATTATGGCGGAATATTTGATTTTTCAGGATAAGTACTTCATCACTAAAGCGCTGCATGAAATGATGCTTATTGCGATAAGTGCAGTAATTATGTTTGCAACAGCGTCACAATTATTAGTATTTAGCTACCATTCTTTTGGGATGTTCAAAATTGCCAGGTATCGATCACATTACATCGATTTAATTTGACTCGATTATGAATTATACTTAAAAATATTGCAGTTATCGAATAGAACACTCCATCGAGGATAGTGTATTGCATGTACTACATCCCAAAAAGGAATACGCAATTTACAATAGGATAATGCACGCCGTAATTGCACACCGTAGAGCTTTGGAGTTAGTATATCGCATTTTCTTTGTAATTTTTTATATTTAAAATATTCTTTTCAAAAAAATATTTGTCTACTTATCTCATTCCGATATTTTCGAATACAAAGATATTATAAATGATGTATGTAAAAGTATCAAATAAGCTATGTCACATAGTGCATATGGATGCCTATATCTTATGGATATTTAACTTTTCGTTTCTTTTTGAGACTACTTTAATTTCTATTTAATCCTTCAATGTTACACTATATGTTTAGTCGCGAAAGCAACACATTGAGTCCTTCAGTCTTGTATAAAATGTCTTGTATAAAAATAGCGATTATAAAGAGTATATTATAACAAATCTTTCTTTCAATCGAAACGTCAGATATTAATAAATATAACAGTAATGAGCAAATTTATGTATTATTATTATTAATAAAAAAAGTTAAAAAGCATATAAAATTAAAGAAAACATATATATGTATAATATGTATATGCGCTATACCCATAGTGGCACCGAAGAATTAAGAAAAATTATTCGTAAGAATGTCACAAATATTATCTATTATCAACAATTATATGATGACTTCTTCCAATTTAAAATTTTTTGTTTAATATTTTTGTCATTTTAAAGATTTTCCAATATGTTGATGTCATCGTTTAGTATACCATATTTCATCATGGCTATTACTGGATTAATTTCATTAAGCATCAATTTGTATGGAGTAAGTAAAATCTCAGGTAAAATATGTAACGAATTATATTTTTAACATAAATTTGCTGTAGCAATATTATTAAGTTTACAATACCAGTAATAGTAAATTATTTCTTGCATACAATAGTTCACTGAAGCGGCAATAATGTCAAAGAACATGGACAACTTACTCCTATATTTTATTATTTCGTTGGGTCATTTAATTTACATGTTTATAGCGAATTATATTGGTCAAAAGGTTATCGATTACAATAACGAACTCTTTCAGTTAATGTAAGTAGCTAATTTTTTTGTAGTATTGTGCAGTAATTCAAAAATGAATGTTTTTAAATTATTATTTTTGGCTCCCTAAATTACAAGAATTAAAAACTTTCTGAAAAAATTCAACTCAAATTCACTCATCATCTTGTGCAAGAATTAAAAAAAATAGAAAATAATTCTTTTATTTCTAAATAAGAAATACAAATAAAAGAACAATTAAGTAAAAATTTTAACAGTAAGATTCCATGAAATTTATTTTTTATATACCAATATTATAATTTTGTCGTGTTTCTTATATGAAATAAAATTATTATTAAACTTTTAGATACGGTACATCGTGGTACTTAATGCCTGTGTCATGCCAAAAACTAATTTTATTTTTAATGCAAAAAACTGTCAAGGGATATTATTTTACGTTTGGCTTTATATTTGTGGCAAAAATGGAAACTTTCGCTACGGTAAGAAAAATGAAGAATAAAAAAATAATAGAGTCTTACTAGAATATTTAACAGAATTAAATTTCTTTTCTAGATTGTAAATACTGCGATGTCCTATGTTGCTGTGATGTATAATCGCGTGAATTAATTCATCTTTTTATTTACATAGTTAATTGTGTATGATTCAATTAATTCGTGTTCACAAAGAACGAGAATGTCGTTGCATGTCATGAGAGATTTTAAAGAATACAAGTTCATTGGATATCGTTAATACCTACTATATGACTATTCTCTACCTGGTGATAAAATTATTTATAGATGAACTTTTATCTTCCTATAGAAATATGCACATAATAATGTATACGAATCTTTGCATTACTAAATTGTTAATTGTTATTGTCTGTAAGAACTTTGGGGAAGAAGAAAATGAGTGATTCTAAATTCTAATATTTTTAGTAGACATGTATGTATAAGAGTAAGGTAATCAATCTTTCTCAATGTGAAATAAATATAATGCAATACAAGAAGAATTCTGTTAAAATCTACTGTTCTTTAGCCTTTTTTATTAAATTATTGATTAATTAAAAGCATCTTAATAAATTATTAATTAATATATTTAATTATATATATATATATATATATATATATATATATATTAAGATGTATAATCAGCCGTTAATTTTGTAAAACTGTAATGCATATACATACAGTGTTACATGTGATTCTTCTGCGGTAAGGATTAACCGTTGAGATATTGATCTGATAATTATGTAACATGAGATTGAGTAATTAACGCAATATCATATTGTCGCAAGCAGTAACAAGTTATCGAAGCAAAATTCATTTTTTCTAAATAAAAATATCAATGTGAGTATTTAATATGCAGGATAGATTTTAAGTTTCTATTGATACCAATTAATATTTACGTTATGAATTTAATTGAGAAATAATTTTATAATATTTTATTCTGTAGATATTTCAATTAAAAAACAATTACTTTATTTTATATATACTTATTTAGACTATTTAGAGTAATTATCCTTTTATGCTGTTTATAATAAAAAATGTTTACTAACTCGAGACAGAGATTTAACTATTACATACACAATCGAATTTTATTTTTTCAATTAATTTGTGTAATATACACAATTTCACATTAATTTGTGTATACATACATACGTGTGTGTGTGTGTGTGCGTGCGTGCGTG